TAGTCAGTATGCTGGTTTGCCGACGTGATGGCCTCATTACCAAAAATGTACCATGTCAGGTTGACCTCCATGGAGTTCTCTCTGGAAACCGTCGTGATAAATTCCTGGTTAAGTCCTTGTTTTGTAAAGTTTCTTCGATGCGGTCTTCAACGTGTTAAGAAGATATATATTTATTTATTGATATGCATTTTACGATTATGATAATGTAAAATTATTATGACGATGCAACTGAGATGGAGTGGACATTTATTCATAACAATTTACATTGTGTTGAATTTTATTACATATCATAATTTTAATTAATGCATTATATGTTTAAAATAGATACATGTCTAATATTGAAAAATGTCAATTTCATAATAATAAATTTAAATGTCATGTCCATTATTACACTTATATTCATCATCATCAACATCATCATCATCATCATCGCAGCCCGGAAGACGTCCACTGCTGGACATAGGCCTCCCCCAAAGATCTCCACGATGATCGGTCCTGCGCTGCTCGCATCCAATGCCTTCCCGCGATCTTGACCAGATCGTCGATCCACCTTGCTGGAGGCCTTCACACTTATATTATAATTCATTAATTGTATAATAACACTTCTTCAATAAAAAATCCTTTAGTTTGCGTTTAAAATCATCTGTATAGACACATCGTTTGCATGGATAACGTTAGACTACTGAAAACCTCTTCATTTGTGAATTGACCTCCGCCAAAAGAAAGCATGGAGGACAATATCTACGCTTTAAAGATGTCTTATAAAACGTAGATATTGTCCATATATATATACTAGCTGACCCTGCAAACGTTACTTTGCCATATAAACAAAAATCGTTATTAAAAAATAGGCGTCAGTGATGTAAGGGTAAAAATTTAGCATTGCATGTTTTTTAATGCCACATTATAAAAAAAATTGTCTAAAAAATAAATGTTAGTGGTGGACACTTAGGGGTATGTCAAATAGATAGTAGCCGAATCTCACACTTACTTAATATGCATATAAAATTTCATAAAAATCGGTTGAGCCGTTTCGGAGGAGTATGGTAACTAACATTGTGACACGATAATTTTGTATTTAGGATAGCATAAATTTAGATTAAAAAATAATCATGTTTATTCATTCAAAAGTGCTTAAGTTTAATATTTTATAATAATATAATAATCTCAGGACAATTCACACAGTGCCATCTAGACCTAAATTAAGCTAGCTAAAGCTTGTGTTATGGGTACTAAGACAACTGATACAAATACATAGATTTTTTTTTCGTAAATACAATACATATTATACATAGAAAACACCCAGACCGACACAAACAATTATACTTATGAATACAAATGTTTGTGCCGTGCGAGGAATCGAATCCGCGACCATCGGACGTAAAGCGGTGTGCTAAACCACTAGACCACCGAGGTCGTCAATTTATTCTATTAATATTCTATTCGATGTAATGTATAGTCAGTAAACTCTTTTATACAGCCGGTTACCCAATTAAAGACTTTAGATTTATTTTGAACAATGTAACGTCAGTTGTAAAGCGAGTGCGCTGAAAATTTCAGAGGTACAGCTTGGTTGACCGATAACATTTTATTTCTGCATGAATCGCGTTTTGTTTCAGTTTTCGTATTTCTAGTGTACTTATTTATTTCTTTACATCATCGTGACCTGGTTTATTACCTCTATTTTGAACTTAAAGTTTTTATAGCATAGGGTACAAATGAGTTTGCGGTTCAACTGGTGGTAAGAGTGGGTAAGTGATTACCGTAACCCATGATCTGTCTTCATTGTCTTGCTCCATTGGTACCTCGCCAGCGTATGCTGTCAGCGCATCGATCCACTATTTCATTTTTATATATCTAAATATATATAACTCAAAGGTGATTGACATAGTGTTAGTGTTCTATCAACGCACAGCCCAAACCACTAGATGGATCGGGGTGATATTTGGCATGCAGGTAGGCATGTTATGACGTATACATCCGCTAAGAAAGGGTTTTGATTAATTCTACCTGCAAGGGGATAAAATAGGGGATGAAAGTTTGTATGAAACTTTGTCAATATTAAACCGATCGGGCTGAGACTTTGCATGCATAAAGCTACTATGTCGTAGGCATCCTCTAAGAAAGGATTTTGATTAATTCCACCCCTAAGGGATAAATTAACCCGAGCGAAGCCGCGTGCAAAAGCTAGTTAAAAATAATAATAAAATCTGAAATTGGGCTCAATAGAAGTATGGAGTGATAACACAGCTTTCCGAATGAGTGGTGGATAAAAAAAATAAGCATGACTATCCAAAAGGACTTATATAAGTATAATTAGACGGCCTCGATGGTCTAGCGGTTCAGCACACCTCCTTCACTTCTGAAGGTCGCGGGAACAATTCCTCGCATGGTGCAAACATTTGTATCTATGAGTATGATTGTTTGTATCGGTCTGGGTGTTTTATATATATATATATATATATATATATATTATATATGTATTTGTATCAATTGTAAGTATCGGTTTCCATAGCATAAGCTCTGCTACGGTGGGACTAGATGGCGTTGTTTTAATTATCCAAGAAAAATACAATATAATAAATAAATTAGTATATTTAAACAAAGAATTTTCTATTCTATCCTATCCTATCCTGTCCTATCCTATCTTATCCTATCGCATCCTATCCTATATAAAAGACTCTGACGACGAGAATAAATTTAACCATATATGCGCATATATGGTTAAATTTATTCTCGTTTATTCAAAAATAAACGCGTTTCACTTTAACTCGTTTAATAGTTTGAGATCTAGAGATTCGATCGCTCTTACAGCTTCTCTGACGGAAAATGTGAAGATATTCAGCATTGAATGAATTTCGTAGCGCATTCGTAGTAAAATCCGAATTCCATTTTCTATTTTTTTTCTTCGATACAGAAAAATATTTTCATTTTATTATACATTCTGAGATAATACAATTGCTTTTGTTAATAAACACAGGTTTTAGACGGCCTCGGTGGTGTAGCGGTTAGCACACTGGTTTACTTCCAATGGTCGCGGGTTCGATTCCTCGCACTGTGCAAACATTTGTATTAACGAGTATCATTGCATGTCTGGGTCTTTTCTGTGTATATTATGTATGTATTTACAAAAAAAAAATGTAAATATTTAATATAGTTACCGTAACACAAGCTCTGCTTACCGTGGGACAAAGTGGCGCTGTGCTTTGGTCCAGGATTTTTTAAAAAAATTACAAATAATTCTTTTACCATGAGAACTAAAAACATTAATTAATACAAATTGAACTTATTTATTTTGTAGTCAAATATGTCCTTTTATACATAATCTGCACAATAAACAAACAAACAAAATTAAATATTAGTTAAAACATAAATGACTGTATATCTTTATCCTTACGAATATTATAAATGCGAAAGTAACTCTGTCTGTCTGTCTGTCTCGCTTTCACGCCGAAACAACTGAACCGATTTAAATGAAATTAGGTACACAGATAGTCTAGACCCTGATAAAGGACATAGGCCATTTTGTAATGCAAAACAAGCGTTTCAAGGGGTTGAAAGGTTATATGGAAGTATAGTCATTTTTTATATATAATACAGCCGTGGAAGTATCCGCATATATTATATAAATGAATATTATATTTCATTTATTAAACATAACTTATACTTTATACATTTTATTAGATATAAGAATATAATATTCATTAAACTATTTTATTTGAAATTATAGTTATTTTTGTTTAATATTTTAATATATTGTTACAATATTTGTTTGAAACAAGGAGAGCGACTGGAAAATTGAAAGTGAGTGTTGCATCGTAATGAGGGCTCATACACCTACATCCATGTGACTAGACTTTTCCCATGTATCGTTTAGAAAAAGTTAATAGGTCTTTTATGGGAATAGGTATAAAAATTTACAATAAGATACCAAAGGATATGTTGGAATTACCCTTAAATAAATTCAAAACATCCGTTAAATCAAATCATATTTACTGAGCAAAGCCCATTACTCACTAAACGATTACTTGAATGACGAGTGTGCATGGCAATAGTTGTTCATGCGCTGAATTTTCATTTACATATATAAATATACATTGTAAATAAACTGGCTTTAAAAAAAAAAGTAATTCAATTGAGTTTCTTGCCAGTTCTTCTCAATTGGATCTATATACCGAACTGGACGGTAGGGAAAAAAAAATTAGAATGTAAAAATTTGACGTTCATAAGCGGCTCAAATGTCCTACATGAATAAATGATTTTTGAATTTGAATTTAATTTGAATTTCTGGAACCGTCTCTGCCTGTCACACGATGGACCCCGCATGAATGGTGAATCATATCTAGATAGATTAAGCTCAGTTCGTCTCTACATTTTTAAAGTAGAAAGATCTAAACCACCTAGTCTTGATACTCTGTAATTTCTGTGTTATACGCAATCTGCAAACTAGAACATTGTCTACAGAATAAAACAAAGAGATTAAAACAAACAATGTGGCAGGAATTAATTAAAAATTAAACACAACACCCTTCACTTACAACCACAATTACTGGTCATTTTGTTGTATAATATTTAACCTAAAGTATTGTAATTTTTTAATATTTATATAGGTAAATAATAACATGAAAAAAAATACTCGGAGAACAAAGTTTTTAATTTGAACGAAGTTTTATTTTATGTTCAGAATTAAACAAAAACAATTGTAACAATTGTACAAAACAGAATTCTAAATTTAAATTCAAATTAAGAATATAGGTTTGATTAACCAGTTACAGCATAAAGTACAAGTCACTTAAGTCCAGAAAAAAAAAACAGTTTTGTTGATGCTTCGTGCTACTAGTTGGAAAAGTTGGTTTTTTAATATATACCCGCTGAGTTGAGAAGGTATGTAGTGTAACAGCTATGACGCGAAATTGAGGTTATATTCAAAATATCCGTGTAATACTACGGCACCCTCTGGTAAGGTGCAAGGGTATTTTATTTCAGTGCGCAACGGGAGCTCGTATGAACTAGACGTTTCGCGCCTGTTTCCCGCCAAAATTTCGCGGTTAGAATCAACTTTTCGAAAAGTGATAATTTTGACTTTAGTATTTTGTGCCAGTTTTTTTGTGATACTTGAAAGAATAATCGGATACAACGATGTGAGTCGATCGATTTGGACGTCTATTGTAAGTTTTTCGACTTTATCAAGATAAGAGAATAATGATTTCTTGACATGTGATTGTATTTTAGTGGCTGGTGGAGTGAAACTGATTTACAACGTTTTTTATATACTAGTGGCATGACTTGTTATTTTTGGCTTTATAGGAATAAAATATATTTGCTACTAAGAACAAGTAAAAACAAGAATATTTTATTAATAATATTAAAATACATGTAAAACTCAAACAAACTTTATTAATCTATACATCTATACATATAAATAAAATTGGAGTGTCTGTTTGTAATATTGAAATAACCGTTTACTACATGCATATGAATATAAATACGGTATATATGCCAAAAAACATTTTTTACAATTTTTGTCTGTCTGTCTGTCTGTTTGTAATCTCTCAAATGGCTGGACCAAATTTGACGGGACTTTTATTGGCAGGTAGCTGATGTAATAAGGAGTAACTAAGGCTACTTTTATTTTAGAAAAATAAAGTTAATTTTCACGCGGCAGAGTCACGGGTACAGCTAGTTAAAAATATATTAGTAATAAAATAATGGTATATTAAAAAATAAATGCAACAAATGAAAAATATATTATAATTCGCAAAATATATTATAATTATTTACATATTTAAGCGAAATATGTTATCGCTAGGTAAGCCAACTAACAAATGTAACAATTTAGAATATTTATAATGCGATTTTTATTAAATTTTATATGTTCTAATGAGTATGATTACTCATAGAAACATTAGGAGGGATATTTATTTTATGCTGTCGGTATATAATAAAATCGCTTATCAATTCACACACCGCCATCTATTCCCAAGCTAAGCGGAACTTGAGTTATGGGTACTAGACAACTGATAGATCAGATATATTTTTTTATACTTGAAAACACCTAGACTAATACAAACAATCATACTGAATACAAATGCACTGTGCGAAGAATCGAACACGCGAACATCGTAAATAAAGCGGTTCGCTTAACCGATAGATCACTGAGGCCATCAAATAATATGGTGATATTTCAAAATTCAGTGAATGAATGACAAAATATTTATTCATGTAGTTAGACATTACTAATATTTAGTAATGTGGCCGCTTATGAACTGTGAAATTAAACAATCAATAATTAAACAAAACCTGGACTATAACAAATAGTGAATTTTGAAAATAATGTTAAAATAACATTTCATATAATTGTATGCAGTGTATCATACAATACAACACAATGTAATGAAAACTGTGAAATTAGTAGTAGTGTAAGATTTATATAATTGTATATGCATATTGGTAAATCTAATCCTTTAATAAAGATGGGTGACACTGCATGTTGTTATTCTACAGAATGTATTTTTATATAGGCAAATTGTAACATCTCGGCTGGAGTTGTACAAAAGTGTAAATTAAAGAAATATAATAATATTAAAGTAAATTAAAAAAAGCACGGACGAATATGTCTGTGGAAAATTGTATTTAAAAAAAAAAAAAAAAAAAACCGTCATTCAAAGTAATCGTTTTGGATAACGTCGTGATAAAGTATGACGAAACAGAAAACTTTATTCTGTAAATACAAATTATACTTTAAATACTATAAAATTTGAACGTGGTTATCGGCATAAATATAATGTTATTTATTTATTATTTATCTGGCCTTAAGTCTTTTTATTATTCCTTTTTTTATCGAATATGTAATGTTATGTTAAGTATCTTGATTTTGTGTTCTGTAAAAGTAAATGTTAATAAATGAAATAATATCCCCTAGGAAAATGTGACATCTGAGATATAATTTATACTAGTTCAGATGATACAATTACAGTTGTATGTTAAAACAGCAAGTCTTTGTACAACTTTTATGTAACACAACCTATAGCAATAAAAATATTATTATATTATTATAAATTCCTGGTCAGGTTAGTTAGTGCACTGTATCAAATTTGTCGTGGAGATCTTTGGGGAGGCCTATGTCCAGCAGTGGACGTCTTACGGGCTGCGATGATGATGATGATGTTGATGATCAAATTTGCTAGAGTGTACTAACTAATCTGACGTTATGCTCATTTTATGATCCTCCACTGGTGCCCCGCCTGCGCATACGGTTAGAGTTGGCGGCTGTACCAATTTATATGTTATTTTGATATAAAAATACAATATCAAAACCACACATTATTATACACCTTTACATTGTGCAAACCCATCAACCCATATTACACATGCCTAGCACTTATAATTCAAAACAATACTCATTCACTCATCCATATTCTACTTATTTAGTACATACATTATATATATATATATATATATATATATATGTATAGGTACATCTTATATATAAAATTCTCGTGTCACAGTTTTCGTTCCCATACTCCTCCGAAACGGCTTGACCGATTCTCATGAAATTTTGTGAGCGTATTGAGTAGGTCTGAGAATCGGCCAACATCTATTTTTCATCCCCCTAAATGTTAGGGGTAGTCCACCCCTAATTTTTTTTTTATTTTAAGGCAAAAGAACGTTTGCCGGGACAGCTAGTATACTATACATACTCTTATATATCTACGTCAATACTACTAAAATTTACAGTACATGTTACAAGAGAGCACTGATACTTATAACACAGGTGTAATACCTACTTTAGGTAATCAGGGTTCTCACATTGGATTACAAAATTTTCTAGTATCTAGTAATTGTTATATTTATATATTAATTTAATTTGGACATCCATCCATATTATGTGTGTATAGTAAGCAACTCTTAAACTATGTTAATAAATTACGATATATATCCTTATAATTCTAATATTACTTGCTTTTACTTTAACGGTCTTATTCATAAAAAATACGAAACGTTTTTAAAAAACTAGCTACTCGTCCCGGCTTCATCCTATTCTACATGTATTATACATATAAACCTTCCTCTAGAATCACTCTATCTATTAAAAAAACCACTTCAAAATCCGTCGCATAGTTTTAAAGATTTAAACATACATAGGAACGGAGAGACAGCGACAGCGACTTTGTTTTATACTATGTAATGATGAAGATCGGATTGCACGTGAGTATGGATCGGAATTGGTTTAAAGAGAATATCGATATACCCAGGATAGGATCCCAGAAAACATTTTAAAGTTTATTTAGTCGGATCCAATGTATTGTTGTAGTATCGGCCAAGGACAGTGGTGAATATTTACTGTGATTACTAGCACGCGATATTTCGATAAATTACTTACGAAAATTTTAATAGAAACCGTTTGAAAATAGGTCACATCGTAGCGAATAAACCGCTGTTTCGAGAAAAGACCATAATATTAAAAAAAAATTTAAAAAAAATGTAAGCAACTGCGAAAAAAGTTTAATATATATATATTAGATTATTTTTAAAGTAATTTTTTTATGTTATATATATAATGTTTTTTATTTTAATTTTGTTGACTTATTGAGTCAACGGAATATCAGCGCTGCAGTTTTATCTGTAGCATTATGATATTATATATCTGAGTTGGCTGCCTTTTCACTTTTGCGGCACATAAAGCCACCTACATTTCTTTTATTAATTCATGTTTTTTTCTGTATCTCATGTATGTTAGGTGTCTATAATTGTTGAAAAGAATTTATCTATCTAGTGGAAATAAGTTAGATAGATAGATAAATAGATTATTTATCTATCTATCTAACTTATTTACTTCTACTTTATTTTTATATATTCTCTGAAGCTTGTCTGTAAATATTGATGCGATAAGAACCATCTGGATCTTTAATGTACTGTTATATATTTTGAATGTATTTAATATTGATGCAATAAAGGATTATAAATAAAAATAAAATATAACAAACAAAACTTTTTTGATACCTTGAGTTTCATATATTAGGGTAAGATGATACTATTTTGTTATGTATATATAATTTGTAGATTCGACAAGTAGAGAAATGGATCGAGTGTTTGACTACTAAACTTATAAATGCTAATAAGGTATGCCATTAACCAATGATCGCGAAAATACATTACCTCATTCATTCTTTGAGTTTCATCTAACTGGAGCAGTGTCGCTTAATATTCGCAAAATTATCGATTACGCCTATTCCATACCCATCAATCATTACATTATGGATGCAGGTTGAATTCGAGTGCCCATCGATTTTCGCGATTCCACCTAAACTCGGAATATCGTAACTCGATTTGAACTTATCATGTATTCGGATTGATTCATACACCCTTTGGGTAACTATTTCTGTTCAAAATTTGCGTAGGATTTTACGAGAAGCTCTATCAGGCTGTAAGCTGTTTTATGATTGCGTGTAATACTTGGAATTTTCCGTTTATATATACAAGGTAATACTTAGTGAAATGTCTTTTGGTAGGCATTGATCGTCTACCTTATACTAAATCTATAATATATTGTGACCTATATTTTGTTTTGTAGTAGTCTGGAAGAAATCGCTTTTCAGCTATAAGGCCGCCCGTTGTTGCCTCTTTGTCTTTCTCATGGTTATATATTTATACATATATATTTATGACCCCGTGACATCGTTCGCGTGGAATATATATAAAAGTAGCCAAAGTTACTCCTTATTACATCAGCTACCTGCGTCAAAATCGGTTCAGAGAGTAGCCGGAACAAACAGACAGACAGACAAAAATAAAAAATGTTATTTTGGTGTATGTAGCAAAATACATAAATTTATATTCATATATATTCAATATTACAATCATACACCCAATTTTATTTATATGTATGTATAAATAATAGGTAAAAACGTTATACATCATAGTGTATGTAAATGTTTTTTTTTAATTTCTTATTGTTTAATTAATTATATATTTTTTTTATATCTTTCTGTTATTAATTTCATTTCATCCAGCAAAATAGTATATACCCACATTACATATTTTTACATGGAGCCTTCCACAGTATTCTAAGATTAAATTTTTCAATAGTTTCTTCGAAATGTATTTATTAATGAAATAAAAAGAAATGAATGACTAGGTAATTCCGAATAATAATCAAGTCACTTAA